CAGCCCTGGCCAAAGGGCTGCCAGCAGCATTGGTGCCCTTGCCCACATCTTCCTTCTCGGTGTCACCCCCCGTGTTTAGGATGGCCACCAGCCAGCACTTCTCCCAAGGAGGCCGTGCCAGCTTGTGTGGAAGGCCCCGTGCCCTTCCCGCTGCGGCTGTGTCGGCGGCCGAGGGGGCTCCTTGTGCTGCCGTGAGCAGGCACAGGAGGGGAGTGTTTGCTCATTTCTTGAACCGTTCCCACAGTTCAGGTCCAGCCAGATTAGATACTTCAGAGAGCGGATTCCCTCCAAGGTGGGGCAGGTTGGCTGGGCTGGGGGAGGCCCCAGGCCACGTGGCACTGTGTCACAGGGCCCTTTGTGACATGCTGGGCGTGGCTGGTGGGACGGAAGGGGGCAGGGTGTCCAAGGGCCCTTTATGACCCGTGGTGACAGAGGTGCTGCTGGTGACACGGCCGCAGTGTCAACAGTGCTCCTCGGAGCAGGCGATGGGACAGGATGGGACAGAGTGGAGCTGTGGGGAGCCCCCGCGCAGCCAACTCGTACCTTGCTGTTTCGGAGCTTTTTGGAGGATTTTCTCATTTCCAGGTGCCCTCGAGGCCTTTCTGTGTTACTTGGAGACCCGGAGCTTCTCCGAGGTGTCTCCAACCCTTTTGGCAGGTGCCCTCGAGGCCCTACTGCAGGACTTGGAGATCCGGAGCTTCTCCAAGCTGTCTCCAATCCATGTGGCAGGTGGCCTCAAGGCCATTCTGCAGGACTTATTGACCCGGAGCTTCTCCGAGGCGTCTCTCTTGCAGGTGCCCTCGACACCAGACTGTGGCATGGCAGGGAGACGCTTCAGCCTGCTCAGGCTGCTCCGGAGGAAGAAGGAGGAGGAAAGCCCTGGGGCTGCTCCAGCACAGCAGCCTGAAGAGGTGCAGCAGGTGCAGCCCCCGCAGGAGGGTGAGTGCTGGAGCTGGGCCACAGGGCTGGTGGCTGCAGCCCCCTTGGCCTCATCCTGTCCCATCCCCTCTAGACATGCCCAGGGAAAGGGAGGGGGCAGAGGGGCTAGGGCTGATCTCCTGGCAGCCGTGCTCCATCCACTGGGCATTCCGGGGCTGGCCCTGCTTCTGGAGCCCAGGCCTGGGCTGTGTTCTCCGGCCTCTCCCGCACACCCTCAGCTCTGAGCGTGCTCGCTCTTTGCCAGATGCAGGCCAGGAGCGGACAGAAGAGCAGCTCCGTGCCCGTGGCCGCTTCCGCAGGGCAGCACAGGTACCTGCAGCCATCCCCGCCTGGGCTGGGCGTGCTGTCACTGCTCAGCCCAGCACCGCTGTCGCAGCCCTCCAGGGGACATCCATCTCTTCCTTGCCTTCCTCCTGTAGCTGGTTTGCAGATTCATCAGGTGCATTTGGCGTGAAGAGACCACTTTCATGGCCACTGGGGGCATGGCAAACTTGGACCTCTTCAATGCCCAGACCAGCGCTGCCCTGCTGGATTTCCTTGTGGAGAACGGTGCCTACACAGGGAAGCAAGTAAGCAGCCTGTGGCCAGAGCTCCAGTGCCCCAGGGATGCTGTGGCCCCTCACGCCGGCTGCGCTGGGCCCCCTCAGCCTTTGAGACCAGCAGAGTGTGGTGGCAAGGGGAGCACTTCTTGGGGGAAGCTGGGCAAGTTGCTGGCTCTGGCAGCTCTCCAACTGTTCCCCGTGTCCCCTCCAGGTGCCGGCCATAGTCAGGTGCATCCACCAGTGGCTCACGTCCAATGTGTCTGCTGAGCACAGGCTGGACAGGACTCTTGTCCTGCTGACCGAGGCACACCCTGTGGATGTTGCAGTGACCCTGCTGCGCTCTGCCCCAGCCTGTGACAGATATGGGACCCACCTGCCTTGAGGGCTCCCCTGCCTTTAGACCCCATCCCCCTGCACAACCTGTCCCAAATGGTGTGCCAGAGAGATGGAGACTTCCAGGACACTCCAGCTCCTCTCTTTGCCAGCTTTGGCATGTCAGCCCCCAATCCTGAGGCCAGCCTGCCTCCCTGCCCCACAAGGCACCATGCCTCTGTCACCTGGGCCCTGCAGATGCCCAGGCCACAGCGCTGTGTCCCAGACGCCCCTGAGCCAGAGTTCTGACTCCACAGAGCTGCTCGCACCATGTGGAGGACGCTCATCTCCTCCAGAGGGACTAAGGAGCCGGTGCTGCAGATCCTCTTCCGTGTGCTGGAATTCTGGCCAGCGCACAGGACACGCACCTCTGATGGGGATGAGAGCGATGTCTTTGCCCTGGCTGTGAGTTTATTGAGCTGGCCTCTGCTCACCCCCAGCTTGCCTCTGGGATACCTTTTCATCCTCCCTCACCACTGCTTCTCCCTGCCCCAGGCACTGGGCTGCAACCCTGGCTTAGGGGCAAGTTCAGGGACACCAGGCCGGGGGATCCCCCTGTGTCTCCCCTGGCCTCTCCCTGCCACGCTGGGGCCCTGCCACATGGACATCTGGGCCCTGAGAGCTGTCTCTGGGTGCTTTGTCTTTGGCAGGCAACTGTGGCACTCTGGGAGATCCTCCAGCTGCCCTGGTGCCCAGGGGGAGTGAAGAACAATCTCCCCCGCCTCCTTCTGACTCTGCTCTTCCAAGTTTTCATCAGCACAGAGGAGATGTCAGAGGAGGTCGAGACCTTCTGGGGGCGATGCCGGGAGCAGCGCAGCCTTCCCCCCAACCCCAACAGGTGCTCCATCCCAGTCCTCTCTCCCTGCCATGCCCTCGGGGCTGGGGCCAAGGCTCTGCGCCTGACCTGGGCTGTGCTCTGCACACAGGTTTGCAGTGCAGACTGTGAAAGCCCTGCTGCGCCAGCTGCTGGATGAGGACATGTTGATGGTGATCCATCGCAAGTGTGGCTGGGACATGCTCCTCAAGGCTGACACCCACCACTATGCAGTGGGTCTGCTGGCCAGGTGAGAGCCCTTTCTCCCCACTGCCCCCAGCATTTCTGCCCTGTGCACAGGCCACCCCACACAGTGCCTGTGCTGCTGGGCCAGAGGGCCTTGGCAGCCAGGGATGGCTGAGCAGAGTGGCAAAGGCGGAGAGGGGTGGCTGCACAGGAGGAGCCACCTCCCAAAGCGCCCGTGTGCCCTCCCGGGCTGGTGGCCAAAGACCAGGCCTCTGTGAGTCAGTCCCAGGAGAGCTTTGCCCCCCTGGCTCAGGGTCTCTGGTGCCTTTATTCCCCCTTGCAGGGAGCTGTGCCGTGTCTCCCGCTCCTTCTGCTGCAGCATCGCCATCAGCCTGCTCCCGCGGCTCAGCAGGGAAGAACCCCTGTGGGGAACTGCCTGCCCTGGCGTTCCTGGTGGAGGTGAGCCTGATGGCGAGTGCTGCCTGGCCCAGCTGCCTCCCCCTCTCTGCCCTCTCACAACCGCAGCCGCCTGGGACGGTGCCTGCACCCTGTGCTGCTGCCTGGGCCCAGCCCTGGGCGGGTCCAGGCTCCTACCAGCCGGGCACCCCGTCACTGCTCCCTGCCTTTCAGGTGCTGCACTGCCTGAACCCCAGACAATGTAGGCTCAGCATCCTGCAGATTATTTCAAGGCGCCTGCGCAGTGAGTGCCCCGAGAGGCGTCGCCTGGCGCTCCGAGGCCTGGTGGTGATCAGCAAGGCTCCCGCAATGGTGAGCAGGGGGCAGGGGCTGAAGCCGGGCCGGCAGCGTGCGGCTGTGCAAGGCAGTAGCTTGGCCTTGGCTGGCCTTTGGCAGCTGTGCCAGTTGCTCCCAGCTCTCCTCCTCCCCGTTCAGCTTCCCAACTCCTTTGGGACGCGCCTTTGGCCTCTGGACCCCACGGCAGCAGCGTGGGGCTGCACCACAGCATTGTCTTCCACACAGGCTAAGAGCATCTGGAGCCTGAATGAAAGCCTCCTGGAGCTACTGCAGGATGCAGACACAGACGCAGTTGAGATGACCCTCTCTGCGTTCATCAACGTGCTCCACTTGAAGACCATCCAAATATCCAGCCCCATTGCCCTTGAAGTTGCTTGAGGCACTGCGGCCACTCTTTGACAACGTAAGGCTCTGTGTCCCTCATCGTGGGCACTGAGTGCTGCCAGGAAACTTTGAGCCCAGTGTCTTTTCAGGCCTGTGCCCCGGTAGGCCTGGAGAAGCCAGGGGTGAGGTCTTTTGTTCTTCCTTTGCAGCAGGAGCACAGCCAGCTGCAGCAGCTCTCCATGGTCCTCTTCCGGGAGGTGATGGAAGTGACAGAGAGAAGCAAGAGCCTAAAGCCACACGTCTACCTGAGGCTGGTGCCATTCTACTTCAACTGGCATGATGAGAACCAGCGTGTGGCAGAGGTGAGGACTCGTGGGCTCTGGTGTCCCCATGGCAGGAGGCTGCTGTGCCTCCTGCCCTGACCCACGGTCACCTGCAGCCTCCTCCTGGCCTTGGTGCAGGGATGCGGGTGCTGTGCCCTGGGCTGCGGTGCCATGGCCCGCTCTCTGTTGCTCTGCAGGCCTCTCGGGAAGCACTGTTTGGTGCAGCCAGGTTCCTGAAGTGGAGGGATCTTGAGCACTTGGTGACCATGGAGCAGCCCTGGAGGTTTGGCGAGTGCCTGGTAAGGACGGCCCCAAAGCCCCAGTACCTGGCTCCCCAGGAGCACCCAGCCCTCTGCTCCCCCCAAAGCCCAGCCCCAGCGGCTGCTGGCCGGGCCTCAGGGCTCTGTGGGCAGGGGAGTCCCGTGCTGGGGGCAGGGAGCGCCCGGCCAAGGGGCAGAGCCTGAGCCGAGCCTTCCCTCCCTGCCCTGGCGCTCTTTACAGCTGGAAAAGGACAGGAGCCGAGTGGGCCAGTACGTGCGCCAGGCCCTGCCGTACCTGGAGAGCCCAGAGGAGCCCCTGCGAAAGCTGGCCATCAAGTTCCTGGGTGAGCCACAAGGCCGGGGTCCCTCCCCGCCCCGCTGCAGCTCGGCCCCAGCCCCGGCTGCTGCAGCGGCAGCAGGATGCGGCCCAGGGCATGTGGAGCCCCGAGTGGCCTGGGGCCTGCTGCCGCCCTGGGCCAGCCCAGCCCTGGGGCGTCCCCATGGGGGGGACCTGTGCCTCTGGGGCCCTGACAGCCTCTGTCTTCCCAGGGATCGCCGCCAGGTCCATGAAGCAGGAGCAGCCAGAGCTGCAGCTCATCTGCCAGGGTGAGGGAAGGCACCTTCCAGCTGATCCCCTTGGGCCCTGCTCCCTCCTGGCCATGGCAAGAGCTGGCTGGGATGGCCCAGGCAGGAGGGGCTCCTCGGGTCCCCACACCCCTGGCCTCTCACCTTGGCTCTCTTTCCTTTCTCTTCCAGCCCTTCAAGGCATGACTGATGACACCCCTGCCGTCTCAGACCTGGCCATTCAAACGCCCCACATCATCAGAGCTGTACGGAGAACTCCATTCTTCCCATTCTGGTAGTCTCCATTCCTGCCTCTTCCAGCCCGTAGAGGCGTGACAGGTGACATCAGACTCGCCATGGCAGGCCTGGCAATTCAACACTGCTACCTGCTAAGAGCTGTACAGACGGCTCCCCACTCCAGATTCCAGCGGCTCCAAGACTGGCTGTGCAGGGCGTGGAAGACCCGGCCTTTTCCGCAGGGCAGTGTCTGCCTGTGCTGCTGCAGCTCTGTGGAGAACTGATGCGGGAAGCTCCATCTCCTGGGGCCACCTGAGCCTGTGGGGAAGATGCTTCTTCCCTGCAAGCACTTCCTTTGAGCCCAGCAGGGAATATAACATACGTATTATCACACCCAGAGGCCCAGGAGCTTTTTTTTGGTGCCCAGTGTGCACAGGGCCTTGGGGAAGAGGGGAAAAGGGCTTCTTGTGCTCAGCAACACTTGCCCTGCTGTGCAGCGTGCCAGCAAAAGTGAGCAGAAGCCCCTTGGCCTTTGGTGGTTCTGCTGGAGCTTTAAGGTTTGCAGCAGAGTGGAGGGGCAGAGGCTGGAGCTGTGGGGATCCCTGAGGACCTTGTCCTTGGAGATGGCCACAAGCCCTCCCCCAGCCAGGAAGCAGCGTCTGTGTCCTGCCTGTGTGTTGCTGGCTGGATTGCTCCAGGCTCCCAAGTGCCTCTGGAGCGACTCCTCTGGAGCTCCTTCAGGGCTGCACCGCTGCCGGGCAGGTTGGCGGGGCTGGGGGAGACCCGCAGGGGAGGGGGTGCTGGGAGGCCAGGAAGGGGTGAGGTGCTGCGGAGGCCCTGATGGGACAAGGGAGCGGGAAGCCTTGAGGGGAATCTGGGAGGGGGTGGGTGGCAGAAGGCTGCGAGGGGACAGACTGGGTACAGGCCCCGAGGGGCAGGGTGGAGGGAAAAGGCCCCAGGACTTGGGGGGCAGAGGCCATAGGCAGCCCCCAGGCAGCCACCTCCTTCCCTGCCAGCCGGCTGCTCTGGTGCTTTCCCGAGGCATCTCCCAGCCCTGTGGCAGAAGCCCTGGAGGCCTCAGCAGCAGGGTGGGCACACCCCCAAGGGGGCCAGGCTGGCCTGGCTGGGGACAAGGAGGGCAAGGGGGCCCTGCCGGGGCATGTCCACCGGGTGCTGCCGGCCAGGGGCAGTGGCACGGGCAGGGCTGGCGGCCAGCCCGGGCCCCCGCGGCTGCCCAGGCCACGGGGCTGTGGCCGACACCCCGCTGAGCCAGAGTTCTGGGCCCACAGAGCTGCTGCCACCATGGGCAGGGCACTGGGCTCCTCGGGCAGGCCTGCGCACTCGCTGCTGCCCAAGCGGCTCCGCGCCCCACACACAACAGCACCAGAGGCTGCCCAGGAGCAGCAGCACCCACAATGCCTGGGCGTCCTCACCCAGGCACCCACACCTGCCAGGACGCCAAAAGTGGCCAGACTGTGGGCACAATTGCACCCGCTTTGGCAAAAGGCTTCAGGGCAAGTGGCCACCACAGCTTTCCAGTGACTCCCCAGCCTCACAGCAACCCTGGGCAGCTTCAGCTGCAGCCTGTCCTCCTGACTGACTTCGATGGCCCTGCTTGAGGCTGGGCGTGCCTTCCACACTCAACTGTCCCCAGCCAGTGCCACTGGGGGCATCCTTAGAGACTCTGCTGGGACACCAGCCTCGGGCTGCAGCTGCTCAACCTCTCCTCCATGCAGGCACCTTCAAAACACAGGCATGGGCTTCTAAACTCTACGTCCAGCACTTGAGGGCAACAAAGGAAGAAGCAGCAGAAGCTGAAGCAAAGCAGGGCCTCATGTGGCGGAGCTTCAGGGATGGAGGCAAGTAAGCACTGTGGTGTCTGCCGAAAAGATGAGTTCACCAGCTCACACTTTGCTGCTGGACGTTCCTCCTTTGGTCCTGCTGGAGCCCATTCCCTACCAGTGCATGGCCCTGCCTTGTTCCTGGATCCAATCTCCGCGACCCCTGGCAACAAGTGGACCCTGTGTCCACCTGAGAGCAGAAACTGGCAGAACGTCTCTGCTTCCAGCACTTCTCTTGGCTGCTCCTTCAGGCGGGTGGCACCTTCATGGGAGACACAGAACAGCTTCTCATCCCAGACTTCTCCCTGTCCCCTGCACTTCCCCAATGGACTGGACATCAGCTGCTGGCCACAGCTGAGCACACAGCAACTGGAGTGTTGAACATGCGAGACTGGGCTGATTGTTTTTTTCCAGAAGGCAAGAAAATAAGCAAAAAGAACACAAGGAAGCTTGAGAGTCTCTCTGTCCAATCTACTTGTCCTATGAAACTCAGCAACTGATGGTGGTTTTGTGCTGCTGCTAATCACTTCCACCCAAAAATCATGCCAGGAAGGAACAACAGCTTCTGCCTTCTGACAGATGCCAAGTCTTGCCACCAATTGCTCCAGCTGCCGCTCCCAACAGCCACCTGCAAGAGGGCAGACCTCAGTGTCCCTTGGCTTTGGCTGCCCTCTAGCAGAGAAGTCCCCCGGGGGCACAGCTCTTTGGGGCAGGAGACGGGCAGCACCCTTGCCAGGACTCGGGGTGGTGGCAGGTCTCCTTGGGCCAGGACTTGCTACAGCTGCTGATTTGGGTGCAGCCCTGGCCAAAGGGCTGCCAGCAGCATTGGTGCCCTTGCCCACACCTTCCTTCTCAGTGTCACCCCCCGTGTTTAGGATGGCCACCAGCCAGCACTTCTCCCAAGGAGGCCGTGCCAGCTTGTGTGGAAGGCCCCGTGCCCTTCCCGCTGCGGCTGCGTTGGCGGCCGAGGGGGCTCCTTGTGCTGGGCCGGGGCTCCATGGCAGCCTGGCTGCGGGGGCAGGGGAGCCTGGAAAAGAGCCCGCACACCCCAGGGAAGGGAGCAGCTTGTGGGGTACAGGCATCATGCCAGCCCCACACACTGGGCATCAGGGACTGGGGCTTTGGGGCCGTCCTTACCAGGCACTCGCCAAACTTCCACGGCTGCTCCATGGCCACCAAGTGCTCAAGATCCCTCCACTTCAGGAACCTGACTGCACCAAACAGTGCTTCCCGAGAGGCCTGCAGAGCAACAGAGAGCGGGCCATGGCTCTGTGCCCCTCACTGTGGGCACTGAGTGCTGCCAGGAAACTTTGGGCCCAGTGTCTTTTCAGGCCTGTGCCCCGG